TCTCGCTCGCTCGCTCCAGCTAGACTCCTAGAGATGTATGCCTCCGCGTAGATGTGCTCGTTGACTACTTCTCGCCAAAGGGAATGAATGAGTTTGCATTTTTCGTCATGGTCCCGAGGCTCAAAAACATCTCCGACAAAACAAGAGTGGCTTGCTGTGTACCGTAATACCATCAACTCCCATTGTACGGGTTCCATTGCTAATGCTTCAAAATATTATTCCTAGCCCATCCTCTTCATCGTTGAACAGTAATGATCGACTCTTTGTTCCTTTTTTCTTTTTTGGCTGTCTCGGGTGAGAGCTGTTTTGATCCTATCGCGGAAACCACAGCTACACCGCAAGTAGGTTTCATTGAGCTCGTCAAAAGAAATTGCGGGCGCATCTGCCGATTGCCGTAGCGAGTCTCGGAAGGGTCGTGTAAGCGCATACATAGACGCAAAATACGAGCGGCAAAAAAATGTAGACAAACAAGGGCCACCCCAAATGAAAATATGTCACTGCCAGACACTCTCGCCGGCGCTCGTTCTCCCGCCTCCCGCCAAATCCGTGCGAAACTTTGTTATTTGTTCGGGAGGAGCGAAGCCGTTTCGCGCCGTCGCGCTAAATTATGCATGCGCAATATGCAGATAGCACGCGAGCGCGCATGGAAAGCGAATCGGTCGGATTAATATTAAAAGGCATAAAGGCGCGGAGGCGGCCGTGGCATTGCTACAACGCCGGATTAATATGCCTAGATCGCGCGTGCTTGCGCCTGCTAAATACTTGACTTATTGGAAAATTCTTTGGCGATGACTTGTAATCATTTATTCAAAAGCTTATTAAGTCGTTTTCCAATTTATATCGCTATACACACCAAAACGGAATAGTCTGGAAGAGGTGTCTATCCTCCTCCTTTGACGAGTGGCAACGACGTTACTTATCTCACGACCAATTATGAGAAAATCCGTTATTGACTTTAGCGTGGCGAGCAGGCAGCTAGCGGCAGCAGGTAACAACAGCAGCATCACTCGCCTTATCTGCTTTATCTCGGATGCATGGAACAAATGCGCAGAGGCGAGCTATAAATTATATTCACGCAGGGCGCGCGCACTGCCAAGAAACACGCGCAAACACGATAGCAAAATATACGGATATAAGTCACAATGCGCTGCTGCTGCTGCCGCTGCTGCCGCTGCCGCCGCTGCTGCCGCTGTTGTTGCTGCTCTTCTCTCGCTGTTCTCTCTCTCTCTCTCTCTCTCTCCCTCTCTCTCTCGCTTTGGAAATTGCAACGCAGAAATAGTCTTTGTTACGTGTACAACGAGAAATAGCGCGTGGGCTTACGCTCTGCAACAGAGAAGCTTCCAATCAATCTCGAATAATTAATTGCAGACGAGTCCATGTCAAACTTTGATAAGCTTTCACCTGTGCACATGCATGCTCAGGCCAAGATCTGTAGCTCCAGCACGTGCAAACTCAAGTTTATGCAGACGCAATCCGATTACCGAGTTTCAATCAATCGGTCGGTCAATTGGCAATACTTTGACCGAGTTCCAAAATTATTTCTCTCTTACTTGCTAATTCATGACATTGCTTGGCTACCGTCACCGCTGTTGTCGTACTCCCGAACGCGCGAGGATACCCCACCGATATTGGCAAGCTTTGTGGCTTTAACTTGGAGAGCTTTGCTCGATTGGGTCTTTGCTTCACTAGTTTTCGTCACTTGCTGGCTGATACTTGCAGTTTCGACAACGTATATTATACCAAAGGAAGAATTATTTCTTGTTATAGATAATTCAGGTGCTATCTAATAAAGAGCTTTGATTATCTTCTTACAGAGAAAGTTACAGTTTTGTATCCAGTTGAAACGTCAAGTTGTCACTTGGCACGTGAATATAAGCTTAGGAAAAGCAGGACAGCACGCATCTGAATCATATAAATATATATATATATATATATATATATATATACCAACGGCAACAAATCGGCTTGAAATTGATCCTTTTAACTGCATATCACGTACACGAGCGGCAGAGTGTAGCCAAATTACAGATCTTGCAGGCAGAGGGAGAGAAGAGAGAACTGGTATTGTGCGCTTTCGAAATGGCTCTACTCGACGATTGACCTATATTTTTCTTTCTTTCCCGGATTCCGATCGATGTTTCCTCGCGCGCGCGATTATTCCGCGGCAGCCGACTATTTCTACAGCGAGAGCCTGGAAAAACGATATCCTGCGGACACACGCGAATGGATATTTATATTTTTCGGTGAGTTTTCGGAGCGCTATTGAACACGTTCGCCGAGGCAACTTTGCTATATAAACTGCTATTGAAGCTTGATCGTTTTGATGAGAAAGAGGACTATCAGGCCGGGAAATGCCATCACGGATTTTCCATTTATACGATTTACATTGACGTCAACGTTCGAGATTGAGCGCAATTTTCGTACTGCCAGATTTCTGCCGGAATGGACGATTGCATTTGCGAGCGGAGAATGATTGTGTAGAAAAGTATTTTTAGAAAAGTCAAGACGGTAGGCAAATATGCAAACGCTACATTGCAAAATCAATGTCGATTGGTCAAATATAACTATGCATGTCGGTGAGCCACGATCCAATTAAAGAGCAATACAATGGCTTTATCTGCAAACGCCACGAAAGGTGAATAATTTCACGAAAAGATTTGCATTGTGGAGAGGCAATAAGCGAGGCACGTACTATTACTCGAGTACACCAAACGAAACGATTCATTTGACAAGGAGCAACAGCTCGGCTCGTTGGCATTTCAATTTTTAAATCAATCTGGACAATATCGAAGAAAAAACGAAAGTTCTTTTTCAGGAAGACTTACGTAGCCGAAGACAGCACGCAATATCGCGCGCCATTGGCAAAAGAAAAGAAAGCACACAGCTTTCCCTCTCGTGCGCTACGAGTCGTCGAGTCTTGGGAGCTCTACGGCCACGTGCCGCTCGCTGCGGCACTGCGGCGGCGAGCGCGCGCTCGGCTCTTATTAAAGGTGGCGATTTATCGCCGGTAATAACAGACGCGCTGTCTGGCGAAATGTCTCCCGGGAGCCTTGCGTCCTTTCCTTTTGCATTCTCCTCGTCGCCAGCTCCGATTTTTACTTGGCAACGAGTATTTTCTTTATTTTTTTGGCCGCTGGATGACGTTGCCGACGCACTTGATGAGAGACAGAGGTAGAGAGAGAGAGAGAGAGAGAGAGAGAGAGAGAGAGAGAGAGAGAGAGAGGAAGGGCACGATGATGAAACGCGCAGAGTGAGACTGAGGAGGACGTAGGTGGTGTAAGCGACGGATAATGTAGCGCACGTCTGCTGCGCGAGCTAGATTAACAATTCCTGACATTTTAGTGGCTCCTTTCTCGCAAGCGCTTAAGGGTCGAGGCCTAACGAGCCCAGGGATTGATTAATCTCCTTTCTAGTCTAAACAGCTTCGCGACGGCGGCGACGGCGGCGACGGCGACGACGACTACTACGACGACTACGCCCGTTAGCTATACAAGCCATACAGTTTCTTAGGCGAAATAATTAAATTCACGCGCCCGCGTCGCCCCGAGGCCCATTTGTTTTTCTCTGTCTTTGGCTTCGGCGAATGCATCGTTATATTGCTTCCCTCTCTCTCCCTCTCTCTTCTCTATACTTCTGGTATGCTAACTCCTTTTTGTTGCAACTCTTTTTTGCTGCTGCAACGAGTCAGGTGACAAATGGCTGCTTTTAATGGGATGTGTGACGTTTATTGCTCCCCTACAGCTAGACTGTTTTTTTTGTCAAGTCGCCCCATTGTTTTTCACTGACTAGAATAGAACTCAACCTGCAGTAGTGATCTAGCGAAAACTAGAAATCCCCGTAAAGTGTGGCGTCATTGATAGAGAAACGCTGTAGTCAGTAGCGATAAAGCGAATTCATTATTGAGGTCGTACTTTTCGCGAGGGAAAATGAAATAGCCGAAGCTCCTTGTAAATTTAACCAACTGAAACGTTAAGCGAGGCGGCGAGCTCGCAAACGCTTCATTACTGGGCGCAAAATACGAGCGAGACAGGCACACGGTAGCAGTCTAAGCTCGCGCGGCTGTGGCATTGTCACGCTTGCAGCGGGACTTGCGCGGAAATCGCCTGAAAATAGGATGCGGCCCTCGCGCGATATATATTTGACGTCGCCACTCTTCTAATTGAGGATCAGCGCCAGGTGGCTGCTAATTGGCCGGTCAGCACCGCGCAAGCCGCCGTTGGTGGCCGTCGCGCAGCGTACCACCATCGCGACCCTAGCTGCTGCTCTATAATTGCGCCGCTGCCGCCGCTGCCGCCTCTGCCGCCGCTGCCGCCGCTTCGTTTCCGATTGAGCGCGCCTGCGGTTTTAGCAGGAAGTCGACCTCGCTCGCCGTTCTTGTTTTGCAATACCAATCAAAGACGTTATATTTGAAAAAGCGTCTCCAATGACTTTCCGCCAATTGGTCTCGCTGCGTGCGCATACGACTGACTTGGTTATTGGCATCAATTCGTTTCAAAGTATGAATTCCAGGCGACCGGAATAATAAAAATAAATATTTCTCAATTAGTCTCCGCGCGTCACCGTTTTCTCGTCTCGTCAAAGAAGTCGTTGAACCTATATAGACGACACATCATCTCGTATGCGCGCAGTGACAAATGACTCTCGCGCTTAAAAAGTGTATACACGAGCAACTCTTCGATTGATCATCTCTCTCTCTCTCTCCCCCTCTCTCTCTCGCACGCTCTCTCCGTAGCACATTAACACACACGCCGGGGCGGGGGCATTATTCATGGGGGCGGCAGCGACGCGGCAGCTCATCCGTAAGTTATTCCTCTCATGAATTAGTAAAGGCAAGAAGCCCGCCTGCGCACACCGGGAATTTTAAGGCACGCCCGCGGCTTTGTAATTAATACGATGACTCGGCTTCTCTCTCTCGTCCATCTCTTCGATGCGTGCCACGGTTTATTGTTCAATTGAATTCGGTTTAGGATTAATCAAAGCTGTGTACTCGAGCGCTCATATACATATAAAAAAATATACTCGTTTATTTACAAAAAAAAAAAAACAAAATCGCTCTCAAAAATTATGCATTTACGAATGTACTCGAAGAGCGGAATGTGTGGGAGTGTGCACGTCCAAAAATACAATAGATATATGTACGCTGCCGAATTGTTTTTTTGTCGTCGTTGCGTTAAGAGAGAGCCAGGGGGTTTATCTGGTAGGTGGAATCACACCATCCGGATAATTCCAAGGTTGAATTTTAGCCGAACCAAAAATCGTAAAAATTGCGAAAGCCGACAGTTGGCAGACGATGCTAATCCAAAACACAGCTTGCCATGCCGCGAACGAGTGCTGCGTAGAAAGGAGAAAGTATTTTATAGTTAGAGGGAGGCATCGCTCAAGGTATTATGTTATTGTCACGAGAGAAATAAAAGTCATACCCCATCTTTAACTAGATGACCAACGAGAGCCGGAAGAACGAATGCCGAAATTGTTCCAGGTGTATTGGTGATACCCATCAAGATACCCGCGTAGTTGGGCGCCAAGTCGTTTTGATTAGTCAGATGCCCCACGAAAAGTGCTGCACACGTGATGATACTCAAGCACAAAAGAGCCACGCTCACCGTTCTATTGCAGCCGATGTACATGATTATTATGAGGAACACAACCACTGGTACACAACCTGTAATGAAAACAGAAATACTACGCGTGAGACCAGTGCTACAGACAGTGCTGGGACAATGAGAAAAAGGAATTCTCACTTATTCCGACAGCGGTTTTCCGAGCGCCAGTCTGCGAATACCATCCCTTCATTCTTCCCCAGTCTAACATCTTTCCGAGACACGTGGTGGTCACCGAGCTAATGAGATATGGCAGACAGGTAATCGTAGCGTTCTGAAAATAAACCAACAGCGTTGAAGGCATCGACAAATAATAACGGAAGCAACAAAGTAGTTAAGCATACCGATTTGATGTCGAATCGGAGCATCTTGTTCATGTATAAAGGCATCTGCGTGAGCAAAAAGTACCAGCAGAAGTTACCGAGGGTATTGGTGAAAATCAAGGCGATGAAGGGTACGCTAGTAAAGATTGCTTTCCAAGGGACCTGCACCTTGGTCGACGTTGGTGCTCTATGCCCGTAGCTATTAACCAACAGTTCCCTTTCCTCCTCGCTAATGAGTTTTTGGGCCTCGGGGCTTTCAGCGAAAAAGATGGCGAACACTACGCACCAAATGAGTGGCAGAATGCCATGGACGTAAAAGACCATTTCCCAACCGCTGTAGTTCATGATCCAGCCAGACGTCAAAATCGAGATGACCGTACCGATCGACGTGCCCCCGTATATGATCGCCACCCACATACTTTTCTCCTCGTAAACTACCCATTTGCCAACAAGTACATTGACGATCGGTAGGTTGGCCGCACTAACTAAGCCGGTAAGGAAGCGCAATAAGTAGAGGACGTAGAGGTTCGGTGCTGCTAATGGCACCATCAACGTAAACAGCGAGTTAGATAGTACGCAGAACAATAACACCCACTTGGTGTTGAAGCTGTAAGCATGCAAATGCCGCAAGGGATAGTCGAGTATGCTTGGCAAGGTTAATTCAATTTGCTAAGAAGACTTGATGAGAATGAAACTTACCGATCGGCAAAGTAACCCGACGGGAACATACCCACGAGGTAACCAGCGAAATAGATGCTCACAACTAGGCCTTGTTCGACTGTGCTCCAATCGTATGGGCCGTCTATGTTAACTGAGCTACTACCCTCCACTTCAAAGTTAGGACATGCGACGGTTTCGTTGATCGACCCTCCATCTCCAATCTTCTTGGCTTTGATCATACCGATAATTGTCGTCGAGATGTTCACCTTCAACCCGTAGATTATCATGTTGGCGATACACAACATGATCGCGAAAAGGAAACGCACCTTCACTGCTGCAATACATCAATTATACATGCAGATTTTTTTCAATTACTCGCTTATCTAACAGTATTTTTACATTTGAATGTTCGCAATGTCGTTCGAGTCAGACATCATTGAGATCTACTATTCTGATTGCTCTAGTTTCTATTTCGAAAAAATGATTGATGTTTATAAAAAGAATAGGACAGTCGCAATTATTGCGTGAAGCTTCAGTCTGTTTCATTGTACTAAGAACCGTATTCAAATTGGCTCAATTGAATTTCGAGTTGCTCGTACAAATTTTATTGCCAGTAAAAAAGACTGTTTTCTTCAATTGAAATTTCGGTATGACAAAAAGTTTTGATACTAAATGATAAGATATGAGATTAAAATATCACAAAATACTTTTTGTATTACTCCAATTTACATCCAAGAAACCGATAATAATTTCCATTTTCCCTTTCGCCCAATAATCGTACGTAAACACGTTCTCGTTTTCAATTTGGACATCGAAGCGATCGAAAATCGAATCGAGCCAAAGCGCATACGGATGCCTCGATTTCGTGGACGTGATGATGGGTGATGATGGGTTGGAAATTATTGTCGATTAGTTTCGATCGAGTGGGCATCAAGCGAAAAAGAAAAAGAAATGGGACAGATGGGAAGAAAAAAAAATAGTCAGTTTCGGCACAGCCGTACTTACCCATTTTGAAGGCAAACTGTTACCGCTGCTATCAGAAGCCGGACTGCGCGAAGTGAAAAATCTTGGTTGATGATCGGCTAATACGAACGATTGGTATGAGCGAGACCGAGCGACCGAGAGCGAGAGAGAGAGAAAGGTTAGCGTGTCAGCTGTTGTTGGTGTCTCGTGCGCGAACGCTAAAATAATACAAGAATTAAGCTGCGACGTCTTCCTTCTTGCTCCAGCTTCTCCTTTTATTGCTCTCGTTTTGATTTTTTCCCCTCTCTCTTTCGCTCTTTTTCTTACGCAAACGTTGTCGATTAACGATGTTTTGTTTTGTTTGTGCCGATTGTCTTCTCGATGACGTTCAGTTTCTATAAACAAATCGTTTGGAAATAAATTCAAGATCAGCTCAGTGAGATTTCCTTTTTTTCTGTATTGGTCTTTAGCAACCAATTCTTATTCAATTTCCAGCGAATTTCTGTTTCAATATTTACAATTGTCACTGAAAAATGCTAGCGAATATTTGCAGATTCAAATGAAATTGATCGCTGAATGTCGAACGCAGTGAGTGATAATAATTAAATTAGAATTTTAATTCATCTACACAGGCAGAAGCATTGAATCGAATAAAAATTTTCATTGGCAATTGTGCAACAAACCATTGTGAATGTGAATGATGATTTTTCAAATATTTTTTTTTCTATCTTTGAAATGCAAACGAGTTTTAAGCCAATCAGTTTTAGTTCAAAGAAATCACTGGTATAAGAAATCAGTACACCGAGTTTTCTCTCTTTTTAACAACTTTATTTAAGTATGCGGAAGTTAATTGTTTCTTTTTGTGCTAAAAAAAAAGTTTTTTATGCATCCCAGACAAAATTATAATGCAATTGACATGTATATTTCAGTTGTAATTATACAATTTTAAAGTAACGATTAGCTGTTATACGCAACTCAATACTACAGGAGTATGGAGGTAAAACGAATTGTTAGCAGTGCCGGAATTGTAATGAGTCATGAAACAGCAGAGGACAGTGCATGCTCAATAAGTGCAACCTTGCATAACCTAAATTACAATTGAAACATTGTTACATGTCTTTCGAAAACTCTTCAATAATTTTAAGTAAAAACTTTCAATAATGGCATTATCAGAATAATGCACTCCGAATTAATCTTATATCGGATCAAAGCTCTGGAAGTGATAATCACTTTTTTTATTGAATTCTTTTATTTCAGCTTTTTTCTTTTTTAAATACGTTTAACATATTCGACTCCGTTTATCTACTTCCAATATGACTTATGTCAACTTAATGCCAATATTTGTGTAATTGATAATATCGATCTCTGTTTCGACGCTCATGTGTGAATCTAAGTATTCCTAAAATTTAGCCTGTCATCGTGTAATTAATTTTTTACATAGAAAAATACGTTTCGAATAATCACTACACCATAGGAATTAATTAAACTTGTTCACTCATCACTTATCGGGTTAATAGGTATTTTCAAAAAAATTAAAGAACTTTTACCTATTGCCTGACCACTCCACGCTCTTTCACTGACAATTATATCGAAAAACTTTTTACAAAACAAGCGAACTTCGTTACATTCTCTCCCATACACACATCAACTGTGTCACCTCGCTCATTAGCATACTCATACTCGTCGATATAAAAACACACACTCTTCTGACATTCTCGTTTGAAAGGTTTATTTATAGCTACGTAAAATCGGATTGGTAGAGAGTACAAAGTCCCAAAGCTTATCGGCATTAGTGGCGAACGAAGAGAGAAAAAGTACGAGTGACGCTGACGCGAGTATTTCGTAATGACTCGACGCGGAGGCTCGCGCACGAGCAACTGTCGTTTCACGCGAGAATCGTCGACTCGAAGCTCTCGGTTACCCGAGATAATTGTTACCGACTTTGTTTTTTCTTGTTTTTTTTTTTGTTTTTTATTTCTTTTTCAGATAAACATGAAACTCTGCACCGGCACGCTATCGTTGGCCGTCTGTTTGGCAATGAATCGCTGTATGAACACTGACATAGACGACGATTGCCGGTTATTGACACACGCACGTAGAAGTCAGGAGTAATTGATGTGTTGGAGGCAATCGAGCGTGCCGACGTAAAGCAAACACGAACTAGATTGTTTCTTTTGACTGTGGGGTGTGCGCTAGAAGAAATGCATAACGACATTTATTGAATATTCATGCAGACGGTGCGCTTACGAAACGCGCGCGACGTTCCGTTTTATTTATTTTTAGAGCTTATCAAAGTTGCATAAGTGTAATGCAGTGAGAAATGCCACTTTACGTATTTGCTTATTAACGCGATGTAATTCATAAATAGTTAATAATATCGGACGTATTATTAAAAATTGGCCTGCAGCCGGAGCCGCTCACTAAATACTCGACGCGTTACATTCGGTTAATTTCACAGAATTAACGTCAATTACTCGCCGGTTCATTGTCAATAAAAATATTTATACTCTGCCGTAACTAAGCGTCGTTTGACGCATTTAGATGTGCAGCAGGCATACATCTGCATAATTGAACAAATTGGATGCATAAAAATGTAATATTCGAGTGATGCACGTTCAAGTTATGTGCAGGTGGCACTCTCTTTGTGAGTCAACTGCACACGGATTTACTATACAGTTTTATCATTGATTTTACGGTACATCGCACAATGCGGCATATACTGCTGGCAGTTGGAACTGTTGTACTATCCTACTCGCTAACGCGTGATCCACGTGGTAGGCCGACGATGTACCGACAGATAGCAGGCTTGCCATGCGACTCCAATAACCATGCAGTCGTCCCCTCCATTACCTCCCCGGCTGTAGACTTCCATATAGCCGCGGGGCTTCTCGCGCGTACACCATCTATTTACCGACTGACTGCCCTCTTCGCGCACTGTACTAACTCGAATACGTCCGCTTAGGCTATAAGTGTCTTTTTCGTCATAGACATCGGCGGCGAAACAAGCGTAGCGAAGCCTCGAGAAAGAGATGACGGTTATGCTGGATTTGTCCGTTATTGCGTATTTATCCATGCTTTGGGAGCTCGGCGAGAAAAAATGAGCTGGCATTGTGAAATACAAGCAAAGATGTGTGACATGGCTGAAACATAATTTTTTCGATAAATGTATGTTAACTGCATTACCGTCATATTTGAATTTATAAGAAATTGAAACATGCCTCGTCCTCGCGGACAATAAAAGTGGCTACTAAACAGTACAGTTTTCCTCAAAATTTGATTATTCGAGAAAAATTCGATGTTCGCGAGACAAAGGCGAAGTATGACAGCAGAACGAGGAAGAAAACCGAGAGGACAGAGAAAATGCTAAAGTTGATTGGTATTGCAAGCGCGATGGCGAGCAGCTGTAAGTGGCGCATCCTAAAAAGAAAGAAATAAAAAGAGGCAGTACGCTCGTGAGCGTGATGCACCTTGTCTTGCATATGAAGAGAGAAAGAGAGAGCGAGAAAGCGCGTGTAGAGTCGCTCTAAACGGTTGACCATGGGGAACGTTTACCTTGGCTTAAGCGGGAAGGGCCGTACATTACTCCGTAGCAGGCGATGCACTGCGAGTCCGAGAGAGTGCTTTATACATCTGCATTCCGAGAATCCTTTCCACGCGATTGTTACAGCTTTGGCCCCGCAGCTTTTTAAAATGCTAATTACGCGGGAGAATGCGCTTACTCTCGATCGATTTCTTTAAGAGAAAGAGAGAGAGAGAGAGAGAGAGAGAGAGAGAGAGAGAGAGACAAACAGGCAGAGTAAGGTTGGGCCACCGCTTCTTTTCGCCGAGATTCAACGAGTGATTGATCTGGGTCGAATATCTACTGGCAAAATGTCACCTTGCCACCTCTTTGCTTTGCCTTTAATTATAATAATGCTTGCGTTACATATTAATACAAAGCGACATTTCTCTTTTTTTTTTTGTTGTTTCAGGTGAGTAACGACATCAGCCTATATGCCAACGACAGCGGCACGTCTCTGCCAATTTACTCGGCAATTTTAATTACGCTTCAACAAGAACGAATGAGAAAAACAGTGGTCGCTGCATCCTCGTAAACTCCGGGCAAAAGTACTTCATTAACTCGAGCAAACTTTGGACGACCGGTGACATAATTTATCAGTCACAGAAAAGCGTAAATATGTAAACAGTCGGCCGACGCGAATTCAAATAGTCGCGCGATGTTGAGTAAAGTCTACCATTCGTTGCAGAGCAATGCAGCGCGAAAGAGCGAGAGTAAAAAATAGTCGAGGCATTTAATTGTTGGCGCGTTGACGCGTAAATTTCGTTGTTTACATGGCTCTAAATAATGTTTGACGAGGCACTTCCGATTCTTTCGGCGTACACGCTGCTGGAAATAAACGCTCGTCGCGAGAGAGCGCGTGCGTTTTATAGTCGCAGCTCGCACATAATTCACGCGCATGCTTCTCAGAAAATCGGCCGCCGCCGACGCCGCCGCCGACGCCGCCGCCGACGCCGCCGCCGACGCCGCCGCGACAATTCCGCCTTCGTACATTAAACGCGCGCTCGCCCAGCCTGTTATATGCGCTATCCGATTTTGCAAAGCGTCGCCTATACAGCTGTGCAAAATAGCTGTTTACGTAAGACAGAAAGCAGCAGCTTCCGCCCGCCCGTGCATTACCAGATAATAAAGTGCTAACGATGATTGATCGAGTGAAACTCCTTTGATTACATTCTTATGCGCGTTGTTTAATCGAGTTGCGAGCCAGTTCTTGGGATTTAGGAGATCGGATCGCGAACGTAGTGTGCACAACCGAGGTGCTTTCTTGGTTGCAGTCCTCGCCGGACTGTTATATAAGGTATTCCGACTTAGCCCGACAAAATAGCGTCTTTTATCTTGCACGTCAACCTGTTGTTTGTCAGATATACAGATATCGTCAGATTAAAAAAACTCGCTGCGTAACTCAAATCCAACAATTAAACTTGAATACCGAGATTGCCGCGAACACACTTATGTGGCGCATAGCTTAATCTTATCTTAATTCGCGAACGCGAGCTTGTGTAATGCGCGTGGCACGCATGCCACGAGATGATTGAACTTGATGGAAGCGAGTCAAAGCTTCGTTAACGTCGATGACGAGAGAGTCGGACTTTCGTTCTTTCTTCCTTGCACAATGCGTCTTCGAAGAAAGCGCTGCTATTTATCGCCGCCCCGGCACTTTGAATTTTTTCATCTCACTGCCGTGTGCTGGAAGATTGATTTACTCGGATTGAAAAATCAACGACCTCTTATTGGCCTGCATGCTCGTTCGGTCAAGTACGGTACGTCGACTCGCGCTGACCCGTGCAAAAGGTCAGATTTTCCCAAGAAAATACCGATCGGGAAAACGAGCTTTTACAATATATTGTCCAAAGATTTTCCAATAATGAGTTTTCCCTTTAGGACGAGTGCAAGATCACGGAAGAGATCGAGAGAGAGAGAGAGAGAGAGAGAGAGAGAGTTGTATAGAGCGCTATAGCCTAGTCGAGCCAAACAGCGGATTGACTTCTGTAAACTCGAAAACTCCGGTGGCTGTAGCACGCGACATTGACGGAGTCCCGTCAACTCTCAACAGTTTAGCCAACAGTCTGGCTTCGAGAAAACAATGTATCGCGTTGACCCAGTTCGGCTTATCTAACTCCTGGAAGGGATCGCGGCTAATGAAAAGCAGACTTGTTTATCCACTCACCCGCGCACGGCTGGAAGAAGCCAGGAGCATTGTGCCGCTCTCTAAACAACAAGGCCCAGCCACCTGCTCTCCAATTCTCCAATTTATTATTTTGCCTGGCGGCCAAACTCAAGCTGCTGCAGGAGCTTCGGAGCATGCGATCAAAGCATGCCGGAGAATCCAGTTGGAGTCTGTTCATTGGCCGATAATCGACGTCAGATTGCGATTTAAATCGATTGCCGAGCACTTCCTTTTTGAGCGCGACCGAGGTATTTTTGGTGCGTCGACAAAGTCGGCTCTGAATGAGGCTTCGTTAGCTGCGCGATGCAGTGCGTACATTCGGAGAGTCACGGTGGGCCGCTGCCGCCGCATGGACGATTAATGAAGCACCGAATGCTGATGGGAGGGCCGGAGACGCCATTTTCAACTGCAACGAGATGTTTGATGCACCGTTGCTCTTATTTGCCCGCGCATATATCCTCCTCCTACATGCTAATACTGGATATCCAGTGACTTTTGCTCGTACACGAGATAACGCGCGGAGTCTTGAAAAATTTAGTCAGGGCAGGCATCGTACGGAGAGCTGTGGCCAAATTGAACGATCGATGCAACATTTCATGAAAATTCATCTGAGCGCGGCGATCTTTCGTCGTCGCCATCGTCATCGACAACATTAGACCTTTTGCGAGCGGTGCGCTCCACCCTTGGTTTTACGCCCAGGCCGTGATAACGAGGACATCTCGTAGCCGCGGCTAACAAGACATGCTGCACGCGCGATACACGTCGCATCATAAATGCGCTCTCTCTCTCTCTCTCTCTCTCTCTCTCTCTCTCTCTCAAGCTAGTAGAAGCTCTAACAAATGTGCTTAGTTAGAGTGCGCGCGCGAGAATCTGCCGAAGAGGCGTTGCCACGACGTCGTCGTCGTCAACGACGACGCTGGATTATTATAACGAGGCGCGAATTCCGCGCGGCATGCTCGAGCCGCAGCTCCTCTTCTATGTTTATGTATATATCTCTGTGCACACTTGTTTTTGTTTTTTTTTTTCAATCGATTAGTCCAGTCTCTAAAGCCGATTATGCCTTTAGATTTGTCCTTGACAAAACAGCACAAGCTTGGTTCGCCTTTTATAAGATTTGCCTGCGGTGTATAACCA